GCCTCCTGGGGGCCTCCAGAAGCGGAGAGCTCGAAATGTCGGTTCGTGTTCACCCGGGTCTCTCTTGAGGCGTTTTTGGGGCCCTCTTGGGCTGCCTTGGAGGCTCCTTGGGCCGTCTGAGGGGCCCCTTGGGCCGTCTCGGCGCCCGCTGGGGGGCCCTCTGAGGCCACGTCGTGGAGCGCCGGAGGCTCGAAAAGTCGAGACCCCCAAAACATCTGGAAAAAACAACAGGAAGATATGTGGCTTCTGCCCCTCGGGATGCTCTGGGGGTCGTCGGGCTATCTGGAGGAGGAGGAGGGGAGTAACGCTCACGGTCATGGATGCAGAGAAATAAACTTAAAACAGTCCCTGTTGAAAGCGTGCAAGCACGCTTTGGCACCATCCATTAGCAGCCGCGCAAAAATGCGGCTACTACACCTCCGCACAACTTTGCCAAGACCGAGACCGTGGACCCTCCTCATCCACCCGCTCATCCTTCTCCGCTTTCTCACCTCTCTCTCATCATCCTTATCCGCTCGGTCTCTGGGTGATACGTCTCTGGGCGAAACCCACCAGCCATAGGCCCAGAGCGCGTCAGATTTTACAGCGCGCCTGCGGGCTCCCTGGGCGAAAAGACAGCGGGCATACGGACCATACACATTAGCACTTTTCGGCAAATGCTTGAAGGCGACGGGCCAATTGGAAGGAATCAGTATCTAAACAAACTGCGCGCCCCTCACCCACTCAGAGGAGGGGTGGAGGGGGGCATTTTAGAAGGCCGCCTTGGCCCTGCCCCTTTTCTGCGAGCGACCGAGCCGAATCGCTCCCCCCCTGCTGATCGCAGCACAGCAGCAGAGCAGCAGCACTCGCCAGGACGATGGTTTCTTGGGCGCGCCCGCGCCCGTCTCTGTGGGTGTCGCCGCACTCCTGTGCGGCAGAAAAGGGGGCCGTCTGGCCTCCCTGGGCCAAGGTGCCAGAGCCTGGAAGGCTGCGGAGAAAAGAGAAAGACGGGGAAGAAAGAGAAAGAGAAAGAGAGCCTGCTCGTCTGTCACTGCTACCACTCTCTACGAGTGAAAATTGAAAATGGATAAGACGAGCAGGCATTCGTCGCCTCTGCAGCTAAGCCCGATCACAGCCTCACCCCATTGGCCGTCTACCGAGCTGAACGCCGCGACGCACTGCGCAAGGTAGTGCGGGCGCCCCTCGTGTCCCCACTGCTCATGTCCTCGTCATCCGCCTTCTGTGACGTGTACGCTCCACCTGGAGACGAGACCGTCTCCCAGTCCGAGGAAGAAGGCAGGGCTGCCCCGAACCTCTCGACCATGGTGCGCACGAACTTCTCGCGCCACGTCGGGTAGTCCTTCAGCTGCTCCATCCCCTCGTTCATGATCTTCTCGATCGCCGTCGTGTAGCCCTCCTCGCTTGGAACCGTCTGCAACGGCTTCCACACGCTGGTCACGCTGACCGTGTCCTCCTGCTCCAGCTCGCTGGCTGCCTCCACGTAGCAGGTGTACGGCTCCTCCGGCAAGCCGTCCACGACATTCTCCAGCCCCGCCGGCACCGCCGGCACTCCTTCCGTGCCCACCGTCAGCAGGTGGTGGAAGATGCTGTCCAGGGCCTGGAGGTTGTCCATCGCCTCCTCCAGCACCGCCGCGGGGCCCTGCACCTGGATGTTGCCCGTGCTGACCGTGTAGGTTGCCGTGATGCGCCCGGCTGCACGCCGCCCCAACAGCACGCTGGCCTCCACGCGCCCCTTGCTCGTGGCCCTGTTGTTGATCATGTTCTCCGGGCCCGCCAGCACCTCGAGAAGGCAGCGGATCGCCAGCACGTCGCAGCGGGCCGCGAACTTCATGGTTCTGGATGCCAGCCCCGGCCGACTGCACTGATGGTGAACCCCTTGTCTGAGCCGTGGCAGCTGCCGTGCTCGCTGCAATGCCACGCTCCTGCCGTCTCCTGCGCTCCTCTGCCGCTCTCTGCAAGTGCATCGACTCGTCGAAGAGCTGATACCGCCCGGATCGAATCACTGCTCGCAGCAAATCGATCGGTCTCGCCTCGTCCTTCGTAAACCCGTCGGCCAGCTGACATGTCGTCGGAGCCCATCGCAATGTCGTCGATACTCGAGCTAGCGACTCTCGCACAATGACCACGTCGATCGCCGTTCGCTTGTCCTTCACCGGTGCCCCGGACCCCGTGATGTTGTCGTACGCCGATTTACAGTCAATCACACACACTGATGGTCGTTTCGAGAAAGACTCCTCTCTCCGTGTCGGCTCGAAGTTCGGGTCGATCGCCTCCTGCATAAGACTCATCATCCACTCCATGTGCCCAAGCCCGTCCGCCAGTGTTTGAACTTCCCCCGCTAGTGTCGCTGCTACCGCCCGTTTCAACCGGCTCGACTTCCAAACCAGTGGTGACCACTCGCTCTCAGCATCGTTCATCACCGCCCGGTCCACCGCTGCTATGACGTATCCTCCCTGTGTCCCTTCTCTCGTGGCGTTCGCAAATGCCGCATCGGTGTGGGCCATGAGGGTGAGGTTGGTAACTGGGATGGATCTGATGACGATCTCCAGATCCGCGAACTGGCGTGCTCGGCGGACCATCTGATTGATGAGTTTTTGCGTTGCCACGGTCGGTCGGCCCATCTGCTGCTGGGCCATGTTCACCTGCACGGCTATGTCCAGTCGGGTCTGGGACTGAAGCCAATTGCCCTCGCCCAGCGCGCGCCTGCAGGCCGAGACCTCAGCAGGCGTCAGCTCCCGCTCGTCAGGGGCCATACGGTCCACCTTCAGCAGCCGCATGCCCTTCGCGAACTTCTCCTGGCCGATGTGGATGTTGAACTGCTCGTCCTGCCACAGCTGCGCGCCGCAGAACTCGCCGTCGCCGATCTTCCACTTGCGGAACGGCAGCCTGGACCGCAGCTCCTTGATGATCTTCTCGTACCGCTCGCCGTCGCCGCCAGTGATCACGTCGTCCACGTGGATGACCAGCAGGCCCTCGAGGGTCCCCTCAGGACCCCGGCAGAAGAAGAAGCAGGGGTCCAGCCTTGACTGCTGAAGACCCGCCCCTCGCGCCACCTTCACAAACTTGCGGAACCACCGCTTCGGCGCATCGTTCAGCCCGTACAGCGGCAGGTCCATGCGCACGATGGAGTCGGCATGCACCCCCGGGATGCCACCCGTCGGCTGCTGCATGTACAGAGGCCCCTCGGGCCTGTCCAGCGCGTCGCTCTCGAGGAAGGCGCCCTTGACGTCGCCAATCTGCATCCGCCAGCGATTGCTCGCCAGGAGTTGCAGAGCCATCGCCCTCGCGTTCTGGCTCACCGTCGGGGCCTCCGTGTCACCGCGCTCCACCAGCTTCAGCAAGTCCGGGTCGCCGAACCCCTTGACCGTCAGCCGGCCCTTGACCACGCCGTCATCCTTCTCGACGAAGACAAAGCGCGACTTGAGCACCCGGTCGGGGCTCACCGACTTGATGTGCCGAGACTCCTCTGGAGAGATCACCGTCACCGCGCGCTTCTCGTCGTGGATGGTGTTCCACTCCGTGACCTTGGCATCGTGGATGCGCTGCTTCAACTCCGGCGTCGCCTTGGACTCGTAGATCTCCTTGCGCCCCTTCGCGAGCAAACAGTCCTCCAGCTCCACGCCATCGTCACCGGCCACCTCCAGCCGGAGAAGGCACTCCGTTGGTATCCCGGGAAGACCCCCAGGTGGTTGATTGACATAGAGCACCTGCCACTCCTCCGCCAGCAGCACCTCGTCCACCTTCACGTCTTCGCGAGCCACGAAGAGGGTCTCCGTGGGCCTCATCACCTTAGCCGGTGGCTCTGGAATCTCGGGGTGCGGTTCCTTCACTCTGATGCGTCGCCGCCCCTCGACCTCGGCCGGCGTGGCGTCCTGCAGCGCCTCCGCCACCGGGTCTGCCGATCCTCGGGCACCGGTCGATGCCCTTGGAGGCGACCGGCTCCTGACCCGACTCTCGAGCCTCTCCACCTCCGAGCGGACATACCCTTTCGGGTTGTCCGGCGCCACCGGCGCCGGTGGTTCCTCTGCGTTCTCCTCCAGGTTCTCCAGCTCTGGTGCCGTCGGCACCGGTCGCGGGTCCTCGATCACCGGGTCGAACGTGATCTCCGCTCCAGGCGGCGCCTCCTCCTCGGTAATGTCGATATAGCCCGGCTGCTGGTTCCTCGCCGAGGCCCGCGCCAGTGCATCCGGAGAGAGAAGGTCCTCCTCCAGATCCGCCGCCACGATCTCCTCCCGCGTACCTGGGCGCAGCTGCCAGGGCGCTGTCAAGAGCCACTGGCCACCGAAGGACACGATGTAGTTGTCCCTCAGCTTGCCCACTACACGCGCCAGTCCTCGCCATCTGGCCTTGGCCGCCTTCTTGGAGTTGCCCTTGCCGCGCCTCCAGAAGGCCACGAAGTCACCGGCCTTGAAGACCTGGCGAACTCTCGGCCGTGCATCCAGGGCTGCTCTCATGGCCCTGTCGTCCTTCAGGGCCACTGTAGCCATGCGCGCCGCCTGCCGCACCGCCGCCCGGCGGGCAAACTCCTCGTCGTGCATCACCGCCGAGTTGCACACCGGGTCATTGCCGATCGGCTTCAGCGTCTCCGGCAGCGGCGGGTCCCGGCCGAACACCCACTGCAGCGGGGAGTAGCCGGATCGCCTGGTCAGCCGGTTCTTGGCCTCACAGCAGGCCGCCACGGCCTCCAGCCAGTCCGCCTGGTTGTCGATCGTCTGCTCGGCGATGACCTTCTTGAGGATACGCTCGAACCACTGGCCGTGCACTTCCGCCTCGGCGTTCTGCTCGTGCGCATCTCCAGCCGCTCTGTCGACGATGGCGGTGCCATCCTTCTCGAAGCCCTCCATCATGTCAGAGCCGAGGTTCGTCGTGCCACTGTCCACCTTTACCCGAGCCGGCGCATGGTAGTGCTGCACCCAAGTGTGGTGGTAGAGCCTCCGCAACACCGCCGAGGTCTCCTGCTCGAAGAAGGGCTCCACCTGCTGCAGCTCCGACCCCGTGTCCACCACGTTGAGCGCCTTGACGGTGACCGGGCCGCCGATCCACCCGGGGAAGTGCTTGACGTCCAGGCTGATCGTGTGCAGCGGTGGGACATCCTTCGCCGGCGCCGCCGGCTGCAGCACCTTGGGCTGGACGTTCATGTCACACACATCGCAGGTGAGCCGGCGCGCGATCTTCAGCGCCTGCTCGCAGGCGCCGCCGTTCTTCAACACCCGCACCAGCGTGTCCGCGCCAGGATGCCCCAGGTTCTTGTGGAGCCGCATCAGGGCGGTCCTGATGTTGTCCTCCGTCAGCTTCGGCAAGTCCCCCTCAGTCGCCAACGCCTCCGCCATGAAGCTCACGGCATCCCTCGTGTCGAGGGCCGCCAGCGCGCCCTCGACCACTCGCACCAGCAAGTCCTCCGGGTACGTCTCCGTGTAGCCGCTCCTCTTCGTACCTCCGCGCATGGTGCCCAGCGTCACCGCGTGCTGGTGGCCGCCGCGACACTTGGCTTCCACTGCCTCGGCCAGCGTGGCATCGTTGGTGAGGAACTGCCACTGCTTACTGAAGTAGAGGTCGGTCCCAGGCTCCTTCAGGCCAGCCTCACACGCAGCGCTGGTGACCACGTAACACTGCTCCCGGTAGCGGTCCACGAGCGCCACCAGTGCCTTGACCTGCCAGGATTTTGCCCGCGCCGGCGCTTCGAACAGGAACAGCCGGCCGCCGCGGATCTGCATATCCGCCACCCGCATGCACCACTCCACGTAGCCGATCGCCCGCTTGTAGTCGCGGATCCACTTCACCGGGTCCTTCGGGCAGGCCGTGAGGTTCTGGAGGGTCGATAGCATCCGGCACGGAGGGCTCATCAGCACCAGCCATGGCTTCTCGTGCTCAATGATGCTCTCCACATCCAGCCGCACCTCCGGGTCGTCGAGGTCCCAGCCCGTCTTGAGATCGAAGGCCCCCAGACTCGCCATGCCTGCCATCGCTGCGGCCTGGGCCAGCCGCAGTGGGGAGAACAGCTCCAGCACTGCCACGTCCGCACGGTTGTTCAACCGGGCCTGCGCCGCCGCCGCCATCAGTGTTCGGCGCTGCTTCTTGGTCAGCGTCACGGCCTTCACCTCGGGAAGATCCTCCACCTGGGCCTCCTGAGCCGTCATCAGCGCATGCTCTGGCACATCTTTAGTCGGCCGATCCGTCTCTGCCAGGGTCGGACTGGCAGTCGTCGGGCGCTCCATCTCCCCAAGCGAGCCATCGCCCAGAGACTCGTTCGCGCCGTCCAGACTGTCGTCGTCGGTCACTGCCTCCGGCTGTGGTGGAACCTTCTCCACTTCCACCGCCGGGAGCTCCACCGTGGCGCTGAACACCTGCACCTCCTCCGTCTGCCAACTCGGCCGGGCTGCCGGCCGCATGCCAGCCACCGGGGCTGTGCACAGGTCCATCACGTAGTGGCCCTCGGAGTCGCCAGACGTCTCGAGCTTGATCGTCTCGTTGAGCTTCTGGAAGTGCATCTCGTCGGTGGCGAAGTTCAGATGACCACCGAGGTCCTTTGCCCAGCGCTTGGAGAGCAGCAGTGGCGTCGTTCCACGTACCACGTTGACACACACCTTGATGAAGTGGCTTCCCACCCAGGCTGGCAGCCACACACGCGTGTTGGATCGCTCCGTGTCGTCATTGCCGAACCTGAAGATGGTGTCCGTCTTGTCACGCACCGTGGTGAAGTCGTCCTCCACCCCACCAGTAGCCTGCCACTTCTCGCGGTAGACCCTGAGGGTGTCCTGCCCGATGATGCCCTTCGAGCAGCCGCTGTCCACGCAGCCCGTGCCCTCGTTGATGATGAAGTTCGCCGACTCCTCCACGCCCTGCTGGGCCACCTTCAGCCCCCCGCTCCTGACGTCGTCCAGCACCGACTTGATGACGTCCCACGGGCGCACCGTCGCCGTCTCCATCGCGACCTTGTAGGCCGAGTACCCAGCGCACCAGCGGGCGCTGCGCACCGACGCACTGGCCGACGAGGACCCAGCCGACGACGAAGGATTCCGTCGCGGCTCTGGGCAGTTCCTGGAGAAGTGGCCTATCTTCTTGCAGTTGTAGCACTTGGTGCGACGCCTCACCTCCTCCAACGGCGACTGCTTGACGCCGAACTTGCGGCTGAGCTTCGTGTTATTGATCGCCGTGCGTGCCTCTTTCCAGGTCCCAGCTGATTTCGTCCACGTCGCTAGAACATCCAGGGCCTCGTGCTCCTCCAGGACCTCGTCCTCTGGGATGTCCGGTGTGCCGTCGCGCTCCAGGAGCAACGCCTGCACCTCGGCGCCCTCCACCACGTCTTCGGCCTCGCCCATCCCGGTCTCGTCCTCGCCGTCCTGCTCGACGAGGTGGACCCGGTTGCTCTGTCGCACAGGCTTCGTCTTGAACGTCGCCCGGAGAGCCGACGCCAGCTTGTTGATCTGCCACGATCTGCCCGATGCCGCGAGAACCACAGCACGATCAGTTGCTTCCAGCCTCGCACCCCGTAGCAGCGCATGCCCTTGCGCCTCAGGTGGATACTGGACACCCTCCTGCATCGCCTTCGCGAACACCTGCAGGGTCCGTCCCACGTAGTTCGTCGCGCTCTCGTTGTTCTCCCAGCGCAGGTCGTAGACGGCGTCCAGGGCCTCCGCCAGGCGATCCTCCGGCGCTGCCTCCGGGTAGCGCAGGTCGAGCCGGTCGAAGATCACCTGCTCGCCTCCCTCGACCGCCAGATCCGCGTCGACGTCGATGTCGTCGAAGATGATCTGCGCCACCCCGTCCAGGAAAGTGAACAGCAGCGGGCCCTTGTCCTCTGGCTTGAGATTGCTGCGCAGCAGGCGCGCCTTCGCCCACTGCTTCCATCGCTTGTACTCCCGCGGGTCGAGAGTCTCCGCCGTGAACACCCGGTCCTTGGTGTTCCCATCTGCCGCCATGCCCGCAGCTCGCCCCTGAAGCTGCCAGACACCGTGTCGTCGCCTCTGCGCACACGCTCCGCGCTACCAATGCTGATCGCAGCACAGCAGCAGAGCAGCAGCACTCGCCAGGACGATGGTTTCTTGGGCGCGCCCGCGCCCGTCTCTGTGGGTGTCGCCGCACTCCTGTGCGGCAGAAAAGGGGGCCGTCTGGCCTCCCTGGGCCAAGGTGCCAGAGCCTGGAAGGCTGCGGAGAAAAGAGAAAGACGGGGAAGAAAGAGAAAGAGAAAGAGAGCCTGCTCGTCTGTCACCCCCCCTGGCTCTTCCACAACAGCCCCTCCCGATGGACAAATGGCGCCGACAAATTGTGGCGGCACGCAAGGCAGAGGGGCCTGCCGGTCAACCATTCACGTCGGCGTCGGTGCAGGCGTCGGCGCAGGTGACGGCGCAGGCGTGTCAGTCAGCTGGTACGCGCTCTTGGTCGGAGGGTACCACAGGTCGAAGCTGTCGCCGGTGGTGAAGGTGCAGTAGTTGCGCGACGCCTCAGTCGGGCAATACTTATAGTGCTCAGTGGTCACCCCTGCGGTGGTGACCTCGTAGGTGTCGCCGTACCAACCCTCCACACATTCCCTTGTGTCGCACATGACGCACTGCCTCAACGTGTTCGTGTAGGAGCCGGCGTTCGTCGTACGATCGTTAATGTCGTCTATCAGCGGGCAGTGGTTGCCATCATCGCCGATGCACACATACCCGATCCAACAAAAGGGGCGTTCCATAGTCTTGCCAGTAAGCGGCTTCCACAAGCTGGCGATGCCGGGGTGCTCGTTGAAGAAGAACCTCGGGGATGGACAGAACCCCCTTTAGTAAAACGTGGTTTAGTGAAAACGACCTGAGGCCCAAACCTGGCGGGCGCAAGCCTGGAAAATAACGGCCACGGCGCCCTCTCGAGAACCGAAAACGGACAATTCACTAATCGACGTGTCACTGTTGGGGGTTCTGTCCACCCCCGAGAACCAGAAGTAAATGCTCCCGACGACGAGGATGGCTGCCACGGCCCAGGCCATCGCGGAGCACACGTACTCCCAAACCTTCCAGCGGTCGTTCCGGCCGGTCGTGAAGACGATGAGGAGCCCAGCGACGATGCCACCGATGTGCACGGTGTGAGCCGTAGAACTCTCCTCGTCACGCGAAGCCCAGAAGGCGGCCGACTCCACACCGGCGACCAGAAGCATGATTAAGATTGTACCGAAGCGCCACTTCTTGTCGCCCCAATTTTGAATCAGGTCTGCGGCGTGCATGCCGAGCAGGGAGTAGCATCCTCCGGAGGCGCCGTACGAGGTGGTGTAGGGGTCGAAGAGCGCCCAGCAGAGGGCCCCGCCTAGAACCCCGATGGTCCACATGATAGCGAACATGCCTGTTCCCTGCCAGCCCTCCAAGGGAATGCCGAGCATAATCAACATGAAGCAGTTGGCGCCAACGTGAGTGATGCTGCCGTGCGTGAACTGGTAGCTCCACCACCTCCACAGGAAGCTGATGTCGTAGCCCTCATGGCAGTAGCTGTAGGCGGCCAGGGTGGTGAACCCGGGCCAGATGTACTCTACGCCTCCCTTTGTGAAGAACATGTCGAAGGGGGTCCACGTCTTCTTCATGTAGGTACGCCAGTCCCACGCGTCTTTCTGGCAGGGCAGATATGTGGGATCAGTTTCCGGCAGCGAGCTCAGCAGGAAGCACTCGGGCCACGGCCCATTCTTCCAGCCGATGCCCACGCACGCCTCGTCGGCAGCGCTGCACTCTTTCTTGCAATCGTCCAGGAACAGCTGCTCGTTCGGGTCATCCTTGCGAAACTGTATCAGCTTCAGGTCGTCTGTGATACCCTTGTCCCACTGTATTAATGCGTAGGCCCTCGTGTTGAACGCGTTCACGCCCCACAAGCCGAGGCACAGGGTCGCCTCAATGATGCTGAACCAGGGCCAGTACTGCCTTAGGTTGTCCATGATCTCGTCCTCCTGAGCCTCCTCTTCGACGTCAGCGTCGAAGATGCCGTCGACCTGGTCACCGATACTCTGACCTTCTCTCTGCCTCCTCTTCGCCTCAACCTTCTTTCGGCGCGCTTCCTTCGCCTTCTTGCTTGTGACTGGCCGCGAGAAGTTGAGCATGAACGCCGAACTCCCTCTGTTCATCATGGCCTGCACGTCCGCTGCGTCGAAGTCACCATCACCGTCCATGTCAAAGCGCGCGGCGCCGAACCAGTAGGCGAAGAAGGCTAGGAAGTTGTAGCAGATCTTCGCCCGCATGGAGACATCCTCGGGCGCCACGCCCTCGGGCGTCGGGGGGTCCGGGGAGCGGGGCGGCGGCGGACTTCCGCGGCGCTGCTCCGCCGGTGGCGGGCTCGGAGACCTGCTCGGAGAGCTGCCCTCTGCGGCCCGCTTCCCCTTGCCGCCGCCTTTGCCCGTGCCGCCCATGGCCCTGTACTGCACGCCCAGCCCGCCCTGGGCCGCGAGGGCGCGGGGACTCTCGCGACCACTTTGCCCGCGGCTTGAGCCGAAATGGCTACGGAGTCTGGAGGAGGAGGAGGAGGAGGAGGAGGAGGAGGAGGAGGAGGAGGAGGAGGAGGAGGAGGAGGAGGGGGAGGAGGAGGAGGAGGAGGAGGAGGAGGAGGAGTAGGAGGAGGGGGGGGAGGAGGAGAGGAGGAGGAGGAGGAGGAGGAGGAGGAGGAGGAGAGGAGAGGAGGAGGAGGAGGAGGAGGAGGCATCCTGGGGCGGAGAGCTCGACCTGTCGCCTCGGGCTCCCGCTCTCGGAACCTCCTTGGAGGCCGTCTCGGGGCCCTCCTTGGGGGCCGCCCTCGGCGCGCCTCTGGCTCTCGGACCCTCCTTGGAGGCCGTCTCGGGGCCCTCCTCGGGGCCGTCTTCGGCGCCTCGTTGGCTCTCGGGCCCTTCTTGGAGGCCGTCTTGAGGCCCTCCTTGGGGCCGTCTTTGGCGCGGCTTTGGCTCTCGGGCCCTTCTTTGGGGCCGTCTTGGGGCCCTCCTTGGGCCGTCTTTGGCGCCTCAATGGGTCGCCGTTGGGGCCCTCTTGGGGGCCTCTCGGGCCGTCTCGGGGCGATTCCTGGGGCCTCTGGGGACGTCGTGGAGTCGGAGGCTCGGAAAGTCGAGAGCCTCCCAAAACATTGAAAACCCAAACAGAAATCTCATTGGTCTTTGCCTCTTGGGACACTCTGGGGAGCGGAGGACGGGCAACATGATGTTTGCGAACTAAAACGCCTGCCAACTGCAAGATGGCTGGTGGTACATCCCGCCATGCCAGGCCCAAAACGGGCCGAACAGTGAGCGGGGGCGGTCATTCCAAGACCTCGATGTTGCAGTAACTGAGCCCCTTGAATCACCGCCATTTTCCCAGCTTCAGAGACTTCATGATCTTCCTGGCACGCCTGGGGTTTGTGTCCTGGAGGAGCTTGATGGCGCCCACGCAGTGCTGCAGATTAGACTTGCTGCACCCCTTACAGCTGGACTCCTGCCATGGGCTGTGGACGCCGAAAGGCACCTGGTCCGGTTCCATCTCGAAGCTCCCGGAAGCGATCGCGAAACGGCGCAGAACTGGGCCAGAAGGCTGCTCCAACTCCTTGCAATTGGAGAAGAAGCCGTCCTCTGGGAGCTGATCGAGCCAGAGCCGTACATAATCTGGATAAGATGCAAACGACTTGATGCATCGGAGCATGCCGAGTCGGTTTCGGAACGAAAGCCCCCCATTCAAGTGCCTCCTGCCAGGGAAATACTTCTTGTCCAAATTGTGAGTGCGGCCTCCCACGTACTCGTATTTGAAATAGTCAGATAACTTCACATTCGAGTTGGAACACAGCACTGTGTCGCTCTGCATTAGCAGGATGCGATTGCAGGTGAAACCTTCCCAAAACTCTGCGCTCATCAACACACGGCTGTACTGATCATGGTGCCCTCGAGGATTGGCGGTTCGATTCGTACCGTCGAAACTGTTGCCGCCAAGGTCTCTGAACGGGAGCTTCCGGAATCGCAAGAGGCCCTGCATGCGCAGCTTGAGCAAAACTGAACTGTTTTGGACCAATTGCTTGACGTACTCTCCGTTCTCATCCCCCAAAGCAATAGTAAGCAGATCAAAGTCGGCGTTATTCGAAAGCGCTGCACTTTCGAGCGCTGTCGCGATGGTTCGAAGCTTTCGTGGCTCCACGATGACGGCCTCGAGGCACGAGGCTGGGTCGACAGCAATGGGCTGGGCCTCCTGTCCCAGGAACGTGTATGACTGTATGCCGGCAGCCAGTTGCAGCAAGCACGATGTCGTCAAGATGAGAAGCCTGATGAAGACCATTTCTACGGCACGCAGGCTGAAAACGACAGCTACGGTATCAGCGTTCTTGATATGTATACAGACGAAGAGGTCCTTGGCCTCAAAATCAATATTTGGTGTTGGTGTCAACCTCTAGGCCTCCGAGAAGAGTAAGAGTGTTACTGCTCTCGCACAGCGGTGCGATCTTGAGAGAGAACTTGAGCCAAAATGGCTACGGACCTGGGGAGCGGAGGACGGGGAGGACGAGGAGGACGACGAGGCGCAGAATCGGCTCCCAGGCCCAGGCCCCTCCCCAGCTCCATGTGGCCTCCCGACCCGAACCAGGAGCCCCTTCAGGCCACCGAGGGCCTCCGAAGAGCCCCCGAAGGAGCCCCCGAAGGCCGTCCCCCCAAAGGGCCCCCTCCCGAAGGGCCCCCCGAAACCGAAACCCTCATCGTCAAGTTTTTTTCGCAGCGTCGATCCATGGATCGGGGGAGGTGCCCTCCCCAACATGCGGCCGGTGATGCCTCGTCTCGCTCGGCGGCGGAAGCCCGCGACTTCTCCCATGGAAACGGGACCCGTCGCTGATCCACGCCCCCTCTTGATCCATGTCTGCGATCGCCTGAAGGCCTGAACCCGCTCCCTGGGACCAGCTCTCCATCCCGAGCCGTTGCTTGCCCGCCCGCCGGGCCCGGCGAGGGCCCCCAGAGGCGGAGCGTGTACCCAGAGGCCTCCTAGAGGATCCCGCCGCATTGCCGATGCCCCGGCGGCGTCGGCGATGCACCGACGCCGTCGGCGTGGAGGAAATCGGGCTCCGCATCGAGCCGCATTGGCGATGCATCGGCGGTGCGGCGCGATCCTCCGACCCCATCTGCTCGGACCCCATCTGGGAGGCCTAGAGTACCAGACCTTTCGCCGTGCGCCTTCCACGACGCGGAGCGGAGGGGCATGCGAAAAAGGAAGGCCTCCGGAGGCCCATCGCCGCAGGGACCCCCTGGAGAGCCGCCGCTGCGAACCACAAACCCAACACACGATCGCGCCGCAAACAAGAAAATCACGACGGGAGGCTCTTGCCCTGTGTCGGCCTCGGGGGGGCCCTCGCGGGGCCTCGGGACCGCCAACAAAAACGGCTCAGGACGAAAATTAGCCTGGCGAAGGACCCAACTGCATGCAGTTGTGAATGCCGCAATTGTGCTGGGTGGTGGCGGACGCATGCGGGCGGTGCCGCTGGGACCTTCGGTGGAGCTCCCTATGGGGCCACGAAGCGCTGTACTGGGTGGGTGAGACGCAGGCAGGGAGCAAGGGCTGCGCAGGGTGGTGGCGGACGCATGCGGGCGGTGCCACTGGGACCTTCGGTGGAGCTCCCTATGGGGCCACGAAGCGCTGTACTGGGTGGGTGAAACGCAGGCAGGGAGCAAGGGCTGCGCAGGGTGGTGGCGGACGCATGCGGGCGGTGCCGCTGGGACCTTTGGTGGAGCTCCCTATAGGGCTACGAAGCGCTGTTCTGGTGGGTGAAGCGCAGGGAACAAGGGCTGTGCTGGGTGGTGGCGGACGCAAGCGGGCAGTGCCACTGGGACCTTTGGTGGAGCCCCCTATGGGGCCACGAAACGTGCGAGGGGTGTGCCAGAATGGGGTGTGGAACCGCATGCCAGCGCAGCCACTGGGGCCTTCGGTGGAGCTCCCTATGGAGCCACGAAGCGTGTGAGGGGTGTGCCGAAATGGGGGTGCCGAAAAAGGGGGTGGAACCGCATGCGAGCGCAGCCACTGGGGCTTTCGGTGGAGCTCTCTATGGGGCCACGAACCGTGTGAGGGGTGTGCCGAAATGGGGGGGGGAACCACATGCGAGCGCAGCCACTGGGGCGTTCGGTGGAGCTCCCCATGGAGCCACCCACGAAGCGTGTGAGGGGTGTGCCGAAATGGGGGGTGGAACCGCATGCGGGCGCAGCCACTGGGGCCTTCGGTGGAGCTCCCTATGGGGCCACGAAACGTGTGAGGGGTGTGCCAGAATGGGGGTGGAACCGCATGCGGGCGCAGCCACTGGGGCCTTCGGTGGAGCTCCCTATGGGGCCACGAAACGTGTGAGGGGTGTGCCAGAATGGGGGGTGGAACCGCATGCGGGCGCAGCCACTGGGGCCTTCGGTGGAGCTCCCTATGGGGCCACGAACCGTGTGAGGGGTGTGCCAGAATGGACTGTGGAACCGCACGCGGGCGCAGCCACTGGGGCCTTCGGTGGAGCTCCCTATGGGGCCACGAACGTGTGAGGGGTGTGCCAGAATGGGGGGTGGAACCGCACGCGGGCGCAGCCACTGGGGCCTTCGGTGGAGTTCCCTATGGGGCCACGAAGCGTGTGAGGGGTGTGCCAGAATGGGGGGTGGAACCGCATGCGGGCGCAGCCACTGGGGCCTTCGGTGGAGCTCCCCATGGGGCCACGAATCGTGTGAGGGGTGTGCCAGAATGGGGGTTGGAACCGCATGCGGGCGCAGCCACTGGGGCCTTCGGTGGAGCTCCCTATGGGGCCACGAAGCGTGTGAGGGGCGTGCCAGAATGGGGGGTGGAACCGCATGCTGGCGCAGCCACTGGGGCCTTCGGTGGAGCTCCCTATGGGGCCACGAAACGTGTGAGGGGTGTGCCAGAATGGGGGGTGGACCCGCATGCGGGCGCAGCCACTGGGGCCTTCGGTGGAGCTCCCTATGGGGCCACGAAACGTGTGAGGGGTGTGCCAGAATGGGGGGTGGAACCGCGTGCGGGCGCAGCCACTGGGGCCTTCGGTGGAGCTCCCTATGGGGCCACGAAAAGTGTGAGGGGTGTG